GCGCTCAGCCCCCCTCGGACCCCTCCGTTCAGGGTGGGGGGGCTTTTCGGCTGGGGGTGGGGCAAAGGGAGAGTCAGGGGTTAGAGCCCCCCAGGACTCCCCCCAAAATMTCTAAGGAGTTGTGAGACTCCCACTCCCCAAAACTGGGGAGTCCCGTGTTAAGGGGGGTATTGCAGGGTTCTTAGTGGAGTAAGGGGGAATTGGGGTTGGTCAGTGGGGGGTGACTGAGCTCCTAAGGGTGGGAGTCCAACAGGGGAGGCTCAATGGGGAAGGAGGGGTCAATGGCTGGGGATTAATGGGGTGGGGGATAAATGGAGGAGGCTGAGCACCCCAGGGTAATGGGGACGATTGATGGGGTTGGGGTTAAAGCCCCTTGGGATGGGGAGGGACAATTGGGGTAGGGGTCTGGGGGTACCTTCGCCCTCGGGGCCTTTGCCTTGCCTGAACTCGGCACCTACAAACAAAATGTGGGGAGAGGGCAATTGAGAGTGAGGGGGGTAAGAAGGGACACGGGGGGGTTGTGCAGAAGGTGGGGAGGGGTCTCCTGAGCCCCCCACATAGCACCCCACTCACTGTGGGCATCACGACCCCAAAGAGCTGCCCCAGGGAGGCTGAACCCCTTCCGGCCCTTTCCCTGGGGCTCCTTCCCGGAAATCTGTGAGAAAAGGGGGAGTCAGGAGGGGTCTGGGTGGGTCAGGGATGTTTGGGGGGAATTGGTGAGGGGTGACTCACCTTTTTACGGAAAAAGTTGGATTTCGATTTTTTAGCATCACCTCCCTTCGTTTTCACCCCCAGGAATTTCATGTAAGTGAYGATGGCACCAAAGATGATGGAGCTGGGGTGGAATTTTGGGGAAGATTAGGGGGTCTGGAGGGTCCCCCAAAACCCACCCAAAACCCTTTAAGTGTTTCTAGCCCCCCCAGGAGCCCCGGCTTTACCTTTTTTCCTCGTCAGAAGAGATGGTGAGGCTGTGGAGGGAGAGGAGGATGATCCCCAAATTCCATCTGAGACCCCCCAAATCCCACCTGAGATCCCCCAAAATATCATGAGACACCCCAAATCCCCTGAGACCCCTCCCAATCCATGCATTTGGGGAGATTATATGGATTTGAGCAGGAGCTATGCAATTTTAGRGGGTGGTTCCATGGATTTAAGGGCRTTTACTAGGATTTTGKGGCTTTTTAAAAGGATATGGGGGGCATTGCATGAATTTTGGGAGGGATACACAGGTTTGGGGCGTGATAATACTAATGTAGGAATGGTGCCACGAGTCCAGAATGGTCCTATGGCTTTGGGGCAGTCCCACGGCTTTGGGGGCGTTTCCCAGATTGTGAAGTGTTTCCCATATTTCCGAGCGGCACGAACGGATGTTTAGGAACAAAATTACAATTCCTTGGGAAACCGTTTTTATGGATTCTAGTGGGATTTCAGCATCCTGGGAAGTGAATGCATGGATCCTGGGGGGGTTTCTCTGTGAACTCACTGCATCTCCTCGAGCCGGGCCAGGAGCTGCTCCGCAAGCTGCTTCTCCTTGGATTCAGATCCRGAGGGATCCCGGGCTCGGCTCCACTCCAGCTCTGACAGCTCCTGCTCCCCCGGTGTCATCCCCATCAGCCGCTTCGACCTGGGTGGGGGTCACTGAGCGTTTYGACCCATGAACTCCCCCCGAATTAACCCCCCAAACTCCCCACTCAAGACCTGAAGTCTTCCAGCTGCCGGGAAATCTCTGCCTCCTGGAAACTCTGGATGTCCTGCAGGAATCGCCGCTGAGTCTCCTCTGGCAGCAGCTCTGGGCGGGTCCGTTCTGAGGGGCAGGCGGCACTGGAGACCCCTCCCCACTCTGTAACCCTGTCCCGCGAGGGGCCTTCGGGGTCCCCAAAGYTCCCCGAGCCCTGCGAGCTCAGCGAGTTTCCGGTGCCGGCCGCAGTTCCGGCAGAGTTTCCGCAAGGGCTGGGGTGTGGGGGTGTGAAGAGGGGGGTGGAGGCCCCCCAAAAGAGGACAGGGTGGGGGGGTGGGTTTTGGGGGAGGGGTCGAGGGTCTCACAATCCCCCAGGGTGTCACTCACCCAGTTCAAACTGCACATGGTGTGGGACGGACACCCGCAAGAGCTGTCGGAGAGGCGGGGATACAGGATTTGGGGATCATTCCCATGATGGGGAGGGGTCTGGGAAGGGTCTGTGGGGGTCTCTCACCCCTGTCTTGTCTAGGAACAAGTGGCAGAATTCCAYGAATTGCTTCTTGCCTTCCTTGGGGTTCATCCTCCGCAGCATGTCCACGTGCAGATAGCAGAGCTGGGGGGGAACAGTGGGGTAACCCCCTCCCCCAAGCAACCCCAAATTCCTGCAAAGCTCCCCAACGGTCTCCCCAAACCTTCCCTYCTCCTCTATTACCTCGGCTCCAGCCCCTGCCAGCGGGGAGGAGGGAACAGAGACAAGAGATTACTCCAAGTGTACAGCCTCCCACCCTTCATAGCCCCCCCTGGGAAATTGCACCCTCAGGAGCCTCCTCAGATTCTGAGGGGTCTCTGGGGGGTGCGGGAGCCCCCTCCCCATCTCACCACGGGGCAGGAGTCGAACTGGAGTACGACATGCTGCAGGAAGGCCATGAGGGACAGTGGGTGCTGTCGCAGCAGCTCCAGGCTCTGGAAGTGGCTGTTCTGCTCCTCGGGGGTCTGTGCAGGGATTGTGGGGGGTTCGTGGGGTCAGTATTTGGCGGGCAGAAAGCCCGGGGGATTCTCCCAGGGACCCCTCACTACACTCACGGGCTCAATGTCATTCTCGAAGTCCTCATCCTCAGCACCAATGATGGCAGCGGCCAAGGGGCCACGGGCACCTGCGGAGGGGGGCTGGGGGGGGGAACGCGGGATTTGGGGGGCTCTGGGGGACATTGGTGGGACCCCCGATACCCCCCGGGATACCCCCAGGACCTCCAACCCTGAGACTCTCTTGACTCTCAGAGCCCCGTGCACCCCAAGATCCCTGAGACCTCCAGGACCCTCCAACWTTGGGATACCCCCAGACTCCCAGAGAGTGACCCCAAGTTTGAGAGTGCAGGACACCAGAGATCCTCAGGACCCCGAAGGATCCCCTCAAAACTCCCAGATCCCTGAGATTCTGGGACCCCCTGAGACCCCTAGAAAAGAGATCTTGGGACCCCCCACCCCCCTAGATCTGTAGGAACCCCCAGGCTCCTGCCATCTTGGGACGCCAGGACTCTAAAACCCCGCATTTCTGAGGCACCCAAAACCACGGGGTCCCCAAGGTCCTGCGACCCCCGGGACCCCCAAGACTCCAGAACCCCCCCATGGTCGCGGTGTCTTTGGGGGTCTCCGGACCCCCCCAGGGTTTGGGGGCACGGCTCACCCCATTTAAAGCCTCCTCCGGCTCCATCCAGCTCGCGGCGGTGGGCCGTCCTGTGGGCATTTTGGGGGGGGGTGGAG